TTGCCATACGCCGCTCATTTTCTGCCTACTTTGTGTCTATATCTCGGTAAGTACTGATGGCAAAACTTTTTTTAGGCTTAAAACACTCAGTAAAATAATCCTAACATTTGGGTAAGAATTTTTTTTTTTTTTCAAATATTTTGCGACACAGAATGACAGTTTCAGAAAGGGGCCTGCGACAGTCAAAGGGTTAATGCAGATACAAAAGGGCCTTTCAATGGGAGGGTAGGGTCAACAGTGACAGGGTTAAGTAACAAACCATCTATTTGACAACTACAGTAGTTTACCCGCATAATTGTATCTCAAGAGAAAATTCAAAGGTGTGAGAATCAATGAAATGTAATGTTCACTACACAGTACATAGTAGAAGCACCAAAACTAGCAATGTTCACTACACAGTACATAGTAGAAGCACCAACACTAGCAATGTAATGTTCACTACACAGTACATAGTAGAAGCACCAACACTAGCAATGTAATGTTCACTACACAGTACATAGTAGAAGCACCAACACTAGCAATGTCAGATATGGTTACAGTTTCAAGACAAAATTAACTAAGGTAGTATTTTGCAAAAAACCTTTTCTGTACTTTTTTTACCAGTACAGTATTTTCAAAGGGTGCACAACTACAAATTACTATGATTTACTGTCATTTATATTTTTCATTTAAGAATATTTATTGTCTTTCTTATTTTAATTTTATAGTGCTGCACTAGTGCCTTTATACCTTTGATGGGTTTTGAGTTTTTCTACTCCTGCCTTGGGTCAGGCTTTTCTGGTACCTACCTAGTCAACCAGGCTGTTGCTGCTAGCAGTCCATTGGCTCACAAATCAATCTCAACCTGGCTGATCCAGTGCCTGGCAGAGGCATTTGTTGCGTTTCCTCCTGAAGACCTACGTTGTTCCAGCAGGCTATGTTTCTGATATTTTCTGATAAGATGTTACATAGTCTGAGCTCATGAATGCTGATACAATGTTATCTTACTGTGCCCATGGCACCCTTGCTATTCACTGGGTTTATTTTATATTTTCTCCTGTCTCTCTCACTATTATGTTATGGCAGTGCAGATTTGAGACTAGCCCCTCAAATACCTTCCACATATATATTATGTCTTTCTTTACTTTGGTGATTACATATTTAACTTAAATGCTTTTTTTTGACTATGCAGGGTGTAAATGATCTCTATCTGTTCCAGCTCTGAGCTCTCTACCTGCCCTGAATGGAGGCATCAAAACATAAAGTGATTTTGATTGGTTTTACTATGAAAAGGATCTGAAATGGAGCTCAAATTGGAAGAAATGTTTGATTTTTGCCAATGTTCAAGAGTAAACAAATGACGTCATTGTCCAATAAATGTCCAACTAGCCATTCTAATATGCTGTCATGAATGGGTTGACGTTATTTATACAATTATTACAATATTGCAGTAGTCTGCACAACAGTAAATCTCCTAATTTTTGTGTGAATAAAAAATCAAAATAGAAAGCAAGAGTATTATAACAGGGGCCTGGAGATGTGACTGATGAACAGAAAAAAATTTTATTTTAGTGCCAGGAATGTCTGCATTATTCATTCTGGACCCTATTTTAAAATTTACATTTTTTAATTTGCATGAAATTGGTCAAATTGCCAATTTCTGACCACTTTATTAGGTAGTTGAAATCGGTAAATGAGTGGTTTCTTGTACTCAATCAACAGAACAAATGGAGTTCTAAAGAAATAACCATGAGTTTGGTGGACTGGAACAATGGAACTGACCAAAAATAGGGCTCAAAGTGGACGAAATCGCCAATGCATAAATGTTGTCAAGGTCGCTAACTTCGTGAGAGCGTAATTCCCTAAGTTTTCCATCAAATTTCATAATTTTGGTGTCATTACCATCAGGAAAAGATTCTCTATCATTTAATATGATTTTTTTTTTTTTCAAATATTTTGTGACACCAGGAGGCATCTCAGGATTTGGGGTTGTGACAGTCAAAGGGTCAGCTGAGATTAGTGCACCCAGGTCCTTCACATGTTTTCTTCTTTTTTGTTCCATTTGGTGATCTTGCATTTTGTATACAGCATTTTGCAATCATTTGTAAATATTAAACTGTGTTGATTGTTTTTACCTATATCCACTATGAGGCTCAGAAACAGAAAAAGCACCAGGACTGTGCCTTGGAGTACTCGGCTTTTTACTTTGCTACTACTGGATTTTGCTGTTTACAACTACTCTGTGTTCTATTTGTCAAAGTCAAATATCTATTTGCCTACTTTTCCCATTATACCTACTGCCCTCACTGTGTGTACAATTACCCCATGATTGCATTTGTCAAATGCTTTTGAGAACTCTATACATACCAAATCTGCATTTTGGTTTTCATCTATCATCTCCATAATTATTAAAGTGGTTTAGTAGTTGTGACAAGCATGATCTTCCCACTCTAAATCCACAATACAGCGGGTCCTTCAATAATGCTATGCATATAAGTGGCTTTGGCATGCTGCTCTTACCTGTATTTTTTTTGTACCTCTGTATGTATGCTAAAATTACTAAATAAAATAAAATAAAAAAAAAATAAAAAAATAAGGTTGATGAGAAAAAAAATTGAACGAATACAATAAATACAAATTGTAAAATAAATATTCGTATATAATAATCACACAAGTGCATGACACTAAACGCTGCGGTACGAAAGCTCTTAGTGAGCTGCCATTTTTGTTATTGCTTGTTTTTGAACTGTGTGGTGGGAAGGGGTGCTCCTTACAATTTTCATTTTGGAAACATTTATTCCTTGAATTAACCTTGTTGCAATGAGTGTTAATGGTGCATTGTGCACCCATGATGTCTATGGCCACAAAAAATGCAGAAAAAGTGTGACATTTGAAACAAAATTAAGTTTCAGGGGTTTGATGATGGACAGTGAGGTGTGGTTTTGTTATACGTTGTTTCACTTAAAAGTTGCAATTTCCAAGAACCTATCGACAACATTGAGGACTTACTGTATTCTGGTTTGGGTAATTTCAATAGATAAAGAAATCAAATTACCATACTGCATCCTCACAGTCTTGATGAAAATGAAGTGTGTTGCTTGTACTGTCTGTTCAGACACAAGATGCTACCTTACCATGCATTATTCTACATGCACATACTTAGCAGTATGCTTCAGTAATGTGGTTCCTGACATAAACGAGTAGACACATTTGCAGTGCTCATCAGGAAGAGCTGGTGTTCAATGCCCAGAAGGATCAAGCCTTCATTGTTTCACAATTATACACATATTTAAAAAAATTGTTTCAGCACATTTTGGCTAGTACAGAGAGCAGATCCTTGTGTGAACTTGGGCATTTTCTTTTTAAATATATTATATAATCATGGGGAAGTGCTAAACCCAAAGGATTATACAGTTTTTAAATACAAGCATGCTATCTATACCCCAGTAACAATTCTTACTTGTTGTATAAATTATTGTGGGAGATATTAGCAAAAATAATGCACATATTTTGGTACAAGCAGTAAACCAGAGCCAATTAATAGTTAGTACTGAATTTTTATGCAAATGTAAACAAAGGCGCAGTGAATGTATCCAAAGATAAGCCATTCTCATTTCTACTAATGGCAAAATATGGTTAAGTTACATTTTGTTATTATAGGTTAGATTGTTTCTTACAATATAAACAAAATAAAACTAGTATGTCCTTGGCAAAATCCACATATTAAACATTCTTAGGAATAAACTTGCTCAACTTACACAAGGACTTTATCACAATAATTACTTATGCTTTAGCTAATGATAGTACCAACAGCCTAATTGATCAGGCCAACCACCAGAAGGCCTGGTCTGGGAACAGACCAGTGGGCTGTTAACCCTAGGAACTCTCTCCAGGTAGGAATGTTGCTATAAAGTAAAACAAAAAAGTACTTTAAGTTTGTAGTTTTGTTCTTCATAATGTGTGCAAGATAACATTTATTAAAATGGCAGACCCATGTCGTGGTAACTTGTCCTGCTGGAAGGAAGCTGTTATGGTTGTATAGTAATAAACAACCAAAGTTCCTGCATTATCCTTGTAAATCATGCAGGTCAGGGTAGCCATACAATATCTTTAATTTGAATAGAAAAAAGAAAACTATGGACTATAGATGCATTAATAAACCACAATTTCCAAATTTGTGCAAGTACTCACCTCACAGTATTTCAAGGCAAAACCCTTCAACTATAAAATTGCTTTGCTTTTTCATTCCACCTAATTACATTTTTTATATAATCATGTTTATTTGGCTAAGAGTAAAGATAGGATGACATGTTTATTTAGGTTTCAATAAGCATTACAAATGTTTTGAAGAGTTACATCATACACAAATGTTTTAGGGATACAAGTGACAAACTATATTTATTTAATTCAACTCCTTGGAAATGTATTACAGTACATACAAGTTATATTCAGCTGTCAGTAGCATTGTATACTGCTTATCCATAGATGTGTGTGTGACATTTTATGACAGCTTAACCTAGAATATCCCTAAAATGCTTAAAAATGGCCATTTATACCTAAAATGGAATCAGTTATCACTGAGCATCAAGTTTAATGGAACAAAACCAGTACAGTATCTTGTTACTCCTATAGAGGATGTTCATTAAGTATTCAATAAGGATTTGTTAGTATTCATATCATATACAAGTAGTCTGCACGTCATATTTTCTTAAATGTAAAGTAAATTCTATTAAAGTACCACCATACTAAAATTGTAAAGGTGATAAAACCTGAGTAGTTCATGTATAATCACCCAGTTAGATTTTACATCTACAACAGACCAATTCTTATAATCATGGGGAGGCACTAAACCCACTGGGGTTATACAGCAAGTAGGCAATGGGCGGTAATCAGGTTTGATCCAAGGATAGGGAGACTAGCTCCTATTACTTAGACAAGAGCCCTTCACCTGCCTGAAGGAACCCAACACGAGGTTACTACTTAATCTTAACGTAAATGTGACAAAGTAAGAGTTGATATACCTGCTTGTCTTTGCTCTTGATCATGGTAATCCCAGTGCCCCGCCCCCTTGCCACGCCCCTACCCCGTGTGACTGGCCCCCGCCCACGCCCACGCCCTCTCATGGGCATCCTGGGGGGACCCATCATACCCGGGCCCGGGGGTCTGAAAGGTGGTCCCATGGGCGGCGGGGGCAACATGCCTCTTCCTCTGGGGCCCATGCCCCCTCTTGGTGGTGGCGGACCCATGCCTCTACTAAGTCCTAGAGGCCCGGGTCCTGGGGGACCTAATCGTCCAGGACCCAGAGGCCCCATTCGTACATGCCCACCCATGGGTGCTCCAACCATTCGCCCAGGAGGGCCCATGTGATTAGGTCTTCGGCCTGGTCCTGGGGGACCCATACGGCCTAGAGGCGGTCCCATCCCCATGGGTGGGGGAGGGCCCATAGGGCCACGGGGGGGCCCCATTATAAGGGGCCGTCGCATGCCTGGTGGGGGTGGCATGGGACGAGACATGAGAGGTGGTGGCTTGTGTATCCCACCTCCACGACCTCCAGCACCGCCTCGCTGGCCTCCTCGTCCTCGACCCATGTTCCCTCGTCCTCGGCCGCCTCCGCCACGCCTCTCCACGTACCCGTTCACCTGACGTCGCATTATCACTGTTATTTAGCGTCGTTAACGTGAAACAACGAAGTAAATATACAAAACGAGCGAGTCACAAGAGGCAGAGAGAAGCCTGAACAGAGGTACTCGGCTCCCTCGCTGGAGACGCGATGGCGATCGATCCCGCCAATGACCGTGCGCCTTGCAGCCCACCTAGGCCGCTCACTGGCCAATCAGCGGCGACGTCTCTCTCACTTAGTCACCGTAAGGGAGAGTGGCTATAGCCTCTTATTGATTTTCTCATCTCTCTCTCTCTGTCTCTGTCTGTCTCTCTCTCTCTCTCTCTCTGTCTGTCTGTCTCTCTCTCTCTCTGTCTCTCTCTCTTTCTTCCTGTCTCTTTCTGCCTCTCTCTCTCTCTTCCTGTTTCTCTCTGCCTCTCTCTCTCTCTCTCTCTCTCTCTCTCTCTCTCTCTCTCTCTCTCTCTAACCTGGAAATAAGTCACTGACTTTTTTTGTGTGGTTATCCTAGGTAATTTACACTATTGTACGTATGGGTACTTATACCTTAATAAACTTCCTTTCCCCTATTTTCTAAGAGTTTACAAAAGCTACATATGCATTAGTTATAAATGCAGTAGTTACAATACAGTAGCTACAATACAGTAGTTACAATACAGTAGCTACAATACAGTAGTTACAATACAGTAGCTACAATACAGTAGTTACAATACAGTAGCTACAATACAGTAGTTACAATACAGTAGTTACAATACAGTAGCTACAATACAGTAGTTACAATACAGTAGCTACAATACAGTAGTTACAATACAGTAGCTACAATACAGTAGTTACAATACAGTAGCTACAATACAGTAGTTACAATACAGTAGCTACAATACAGTAGTTACAATACAGTAGCTACAATACAGTAGTTACAATACAGTAGCTACAATACAGTAGCTACAATACAGTAGTTACAATACAGTAGTCACATTTGTAAAGTCATTAATCATGCAGAATATTTCGAGCATGTTAAAATTACGATTTATCAATAGGTTTTATCTTCCAGAGGCCTTCGTGTGTGAAGTGCCATGATGCCTGTGAGGGGCTCTCGATCCAAGGAATTGGGCTTGTCCTCCCCTTCACTGGATCAAGCCTGAATGTTTCTCATTACCCAGGTTCTGATCCCTACGGAATTAACGCTTACCTCTGATTAAAGTATCTCCTTTCAATGGGTAATGCCTTAACTGGTAAATTATTATTATTATTATTATTATTATTATTTATATTAGTAAGAAGCCCAAAAACCCATAAGGGTCATACAGCGCATAGGGAATTTGAGGAAATCAGGTTTGATCCAAGGATGCGGAGAGTAGCCCAATTCATTTAACTAAGATAATTTCACCAGCTTCAACCCCTCTCTCTTCCCTTTCAATGAAGAGATCTTGATCTGAGGAAATGGAATTACTCTTCCATTCCTCAGATCAAACCTGACTGACTTACACTACCCAGGAGCTATAGTACAACCATGTTAATACTCTGTCTCATTGATCGTTACGTCCTGCTCTCACCGTCATGGCGACCCTCACCATCCATGGGCCACCAAGGTCACCATCACCTTCAGTTTACTGCATCTACATCCAGACAAAAAAAAAATGCATTATGGCACAAACAGTGTGACATATAGGTGTCTCTATGAGCCTGTTAATTGAGAGATAAATAAGAGGATTTTCACCTATTTGTTTACTTCGCAAATTATGAAGCATTAAGATTAGTTTTGTTTCAGGAAAGTACTAATGATTTTCCAGACACTGATGTGTGTACGATGATTGTGAGAGTTTATATATGTTGTTAGCAAACATTAGTGGTACGTACATTATGTATTGTTAAGTCAAGATAATTTTATCTTGGCTATAATGTGGTTATCCATAGGTAATTTAGGATAAACCTTGGTAAATGGTAGTGCAAGTGGTTTAAAAGGGGTTAGAAGTGATCAAATTCCTAGGTCCGAAATGTTTTCTAGTAAATATACCCTAGTGATTTTTCACTTGTCTAGTTAAACAACTATCTGAAGATAAAGATATATTTTGGTTATATAAGTTCATATTAATATTATAGAAATATATTGCAGGTATTTTAATATCCACGTGGACACTTTCAAGCAAAAAAAAATTGATTCAAGGTGATTTATTTGTTGTAATGTGTGTTGACCAGATCTACCTGGAGTTCATTACCTTTGTAACTAGTTCATCTACCATAGCTTTGGGGTCCAGTCCCTGGACCCATTATGTACCTTTGTAATCTTTTGACTACCGCCCACAGGATGGGTATGGGGTGCATAATAAAGATATTAAACTAACTGTTGGTGAGGTGGAGTGAGGTGCTGAGACCTGGCGAGCTGTCTGGGTCTTTGGGTCGATGAAACCCTGCACGGGCGGGGTGGCGGGTGGGGTTCCTTCACGCTGGTCAAGGGCTATTGATCCAAGGAATTGTTCTTCCCTTTCTTGCATCAAACCTGATTGCTATCCATTGGCCAGGCGTGGCTTCACTTTGAATATAAGAACATTTCTGAATATTAACCTCCAGAGGTGGCCCGGTGGTCTGGTGGCTAAAGCTCCCGCTTCACACACGGAGGGCCCGGGTTCGATTCCCGGCGGGTGGAAACATTTCGACACGTTTCCTTACACCTATTGTCCTGTTCACCTAGCAGCAAATAGGTACCTGGGTGTTAGTCGACTGGTGTGGGTCGCATCCTGGGGGACAAGATTGAGGACCCCAATGGAAATAAGTTAGACAGTCCTCGATGACGCACTGACTTTCTTGGGTTATCCTGGGTGGCTAACCCTCCGGGGTTAAAAATCCGAACGAAATCTTATCTTATCTTAACCCAAGAAAATAAGGAATATCCACTAGGAATTTTTATTGACCTAAGAAAAGCTTTTGACACAGTAAACCACGAAATCCTACTCCACAAACTTGACCACTACGGTATAAGAGGCCATGCGCTTGCTTATTTCAAATCTTACATTACTAATAGGTATCAGTACGTCACCATTAAAGACACAGCATCAGCAACACGGCCACTTGATACTGGAGTTCCGCAGGGAAGTGTCCTTGGTCCCCTGCTCTTCCTCATATACATCAATGACCTACCAAACGTATCCCAACACCTAAAACCCATTCTCTTTGCTGATGACACGACTTATGTCATCTCTCACCCTAATCTTGCCACCCTTAACACCATTGTGAATGAGGAGCTGACTAAAATATCGACTTGGATGACAGCCAACAAACTTACGCTTAACACTGACAAAACTTACTATATTATGTTTGGTAGCAGAGCAGGAGATGCACAAATTAACATTAAGATTGACAACACTCTAATTACCAGAAATAATGGGGAAAATTCTTAGGCTTATACCTTGACAATAACCTGAATTTCAGCACCCATATCCAGCATATAGCCAAAAAAGTATCCAAAACGGTTGGGATCCTCTCCAAGATACGATACTACGTGCCGCAAAATGCCCTTCTCACACTATACCACTCGCTTATTTATCCATACCTCACCTATGCTATTTGTGCTTGGGGATCAACTGCAGCAACACACCTAAAGCCAATAATAACCCAACAAAAAGCTGCAGTAAGAATAATCACTAAATCCCATCCCTGGCAGCACACCCCCCCACTCTTCAAAGATCTAAACTTACTCCCAGTTCAGTACATCCACACTTACTACTGTGCAATCTATATCTACAGGGCCTTAAACTCTAATATCAACCTTGACCTTAAACGCTTTCTTGATAGTTGTGACAGAACCCACAGGCATAACACCAGAAACAAACATCTCTACGACATTCCCCGTGTCCGACTAAACCTTTACAAAAATTCAATGTATGTCAAAGGCCCTAAAATCTGGAATACCCTACCTGAGAACTCTAGAACTGCAGACACATTCATCACCTTCAAAACTACCATTAGAAAACATCTTATCTCCCTGATACACCCCGTCAACTAACTTCACAAATACCACCTGGTGGTTCACACTTACACTCGCACACTCATTTGACCATAAACAGAAATATTAATCTCAGTCTTAATATAATGAATCCTGTGATACTCCAATACTGAAACTATATACTGTGCCAAAACAAAAGCATTCACACTGCTAAACTCACAAAATAGTATTTAGTCACTTAGCCATAATACCAACTTACCTCATAATTTGTAATATTTTACATTTAAGAATAAAACTAAGTATGCCCGAAATGCCTAGCCATGCTAAGCGTTCTAGTGGTACACTCTGTAATCTCAATTTTACTACATGTTAAACCAAACAATAACCAAATTTCTGTAAACTCAGCATTGTAATCCTTATAGAGAATAAACGTTGAATTTGAATTTGAAAAAAAGTAAGCCAAGCCCTGTGAGTCTGTGACTTATATTTCTGCTGGGATCTTAGGTTCTCTGCCCGAAGATGCAACTAACTTCTGTGTATCTTTTTGCTGCTAGGTAAACAATGGCAGGTATAAAGAAACTTGACTGTGTATGTTTTGGAAGAATTACCGACAATATGTAAAGTAAAAGAATACAAGTGCAACTAATGTGACATTTTATTGTGGCAAACAAACAACAAATTTACTCTGCAGATCATAAAGGACCAAACAAGTGTTATTGTACCAGAGTCAGAAATAAAAGAAGCCAGGTTACTAGGATCCCATGGTAGAAAAAGTGTTATGCTTAGATTCCACTCACATGACAGGAAAAAAGACTTAATTATTGCATCTATTAAAGTAAAGAAAGAGGTATACATAAACGAGTGTCTTACCAAAAAACGTCAGAACCTCCTGTATAGAGTCAGAAAACTTAAGCGGGAGAATAATGACACAATACACCAATGCTTCACACGACCAATTATGTACCTCTGTAATCTTTTGACTACCGCCCACAGGATGGGTATGGGGTGCATAATAAACATATTAAACTACTTCACACGGGATGGGAAAATTCTTGTTAGGAAAACAAATGTAGGTCAACTGTACACAATCACGAACGAGAATGATCTATCACGATTTCTCAGGGATACTAATCTTACAGAGAATAACTAAACAATGTCCAACTTAAAAGCCTACGTAGTGTAGTGTATGTTTTGCTCCATTATTGTTCAAATTTCATTGTACAATCTCTTAGTAATTAAATAATCAACTACCTCATTTTG